CTGAAGATTCATACATTGTTATTCAAATGCACAATGACATGCATCTGGAAGATACCTTATAAGATTCAACTTTTAGATTTCAACAGCTTTTCAGTGAGCATCTACTATGTGCCAGGTCCTCTTCTGGGTGCTGGGGAAAGTGCATTAGATATGGCAAGTAAATACCCTGCTGTCATGGAGAACTGATGCTCTTACATGGTGGTAGGATCATTACAAGAGGATGGAAATGGAAGTGGAGATGTCTTTGGGCTCAGACTTCAGAACTCACATATACATATATTCTATTGCACAAAACGAATTGAAGGCCAGCCCCAATTCAAGCTTGGGGAAACAGACCTGACTTCTACATCTGGTTCATCTAGTATCCTGAGCATTGAGGTATTTTCACTCTCCCATGAGATTTGAGAAGATTAAGACTGAGATAACTAAGCCAAACTTTTTCTTCTCAGTTATTTTAATACTGTGTGCAATAACATGAACATTAACCCTTGTAATATCATGCTGCAATTAAAGAAGCTAACATGTGAAAGAGCTATAGATATCTCTTCTCATGTCACTCACAAGGAAATGCTATTCAACTTATAGTCACTAACTGTTAAAACTGAAAAGTATCACCCATCATTTTATTGATGAGAAAATATGACAGAGAGAAATGAAGTAATTTTCCCAAAGTCACAGAGTTAATGACAAAGCCAAGATTTCTGATTCCAAACTGTATGCTCTTTGTATTATATCATGTTGCCTCTAAAGTTTTATTATAGCTGATGATTAAAGAAGTGAATTAATAGCTATGTTATTTATTACCAGAATCATGTTATTGAGAAATGGTTTACAACCATGAATAAGAGTTCAATTTCTCACATCGGATTGCCTGGATTTAAAATCTGTTCTGCCATGAACTATATAATGAACTCTATAGATTATATTAGGCAAGTAACATAGCCTTTCTAAACTTTAATCTTCCCAGGTACAAAAATGTGGATATTAACAGCACCCACCTTGTAGTTTATTAATGAAGATCCAATAAGGTCTGTCACACAGCACTATGCCTGATTATGCTTATTTATAAGGATAATATTTATTTTATCAATAGGATTTTTATTAAGGTGAAATTAGCAAGTTCAGATTTTAAGTATATCATTTCATAAGTTTTATCAGTGTATAAGACTGTGTAATTAGATATAGAATATTTAACTTACCTCCAAAATTTATCTTGTGCCTCAACTATTATAGTCACACTCTGCTCTTATTTTAATCACATAGAATTCTATGGCTGCCCTTGAAGATAATATAAATGGCATCATCAGACAGTATGTACTGTTTTTTGCCTGACTTCTTTTGCTTAACATAGTATTTTTGAAATTTGACCATGCTGTTGAATATATATATGTTTGTATGTATATGTATATGTATATTACATATTTATTTGTGTGCATTTATTTATATGTGTTTTTCATAACATTATTGGGGAATAATATAATGTGTATATTATATATACATAATATAATATAATGTGTTTTATAATTAGATAATCTAATTATCTAATTATCTACTTTCCTAGTGATGATATTTGGATTGTTTCAATATTGAATGAATCTTCTACAGAATTCTTGTTCTAGGCTTTCTTTGGGGCACATATTTTTATTTCTTTGATAAATATCTTGAGAAAGAATCAGCTGGTCATATGGAAAGAGAATATTTAACATTGTAAGAAACTACGAAAATATTTTGCAAGTAGCTGTACTGTTTTACATTCTCACCAGAAAGTATGAGTTCTGTTTACTCTATATCCTCAAAATTTTTTGTTAATTTTGTAACTTTTGTTAATTATCAGTTTTGTTAATTTTAGCCATATAGTGCATATAAAAAGATAGCATTATAGTTTTAATTTCCATTTCTTTAAGGAAAGCTGATTATAAAAACCTTACCATGTACTTATTAAATACACACATGACTTTTTTCATAGAGTCTGTTCAAGTATTTGGACCTTTTTTATTGTTTTTTTACATGTTCATCATTGAGATTTAGAATTTCTTTATGTATACTAGATATATGTCCTTTGTTAGATATTTTCATTGTGAATATTTTTTCTCCATATGTAACTTTGTAAGTTATGTAAATTCTAATGACTACGCTGTACACCTGAAATTAATATAATATTCAATGTCAACTGTAATTTCAAAAATATTAAAAAATTGAAATAAAACCCATGCACAAACTTTTCTTTTTGGGCATTATAAATTTTAGTTCTAGAATTCTCTTTTTTGCTTTTAAAAAATAGTTTTCATATATTTGCTGAGATTCTCTACTGTACACTCATTGATCATATAAACATCGTGACCATTTTTCTTTTAAGTTCTTGAACTATTAGAAATAGTTAATTGAATGTCTTTATTTTCTGGTTGCATTTCAGGTTTTGTTGGTTTATAAAGACTGCTATATTTTTATTGACCAGACAGGAAGGGAGAGGGAAAAAGAGATTGAAACATCAATGATGAGTATCATTGATCAGCTGCCTCCCGCACACCCCTTACTGGGGATCCAGCACAACCCTGGCATGTGCCCTGACTGGGAATTGAACCATGATCTCCTGGTTCATAGGTCCACACTCAACTACTGAGCCACACTTACCAGGCTTAGTTGCTATTTTTTAATGTGTCTTATTATGCTGCACTTTGTATATCTCATTTTTTTTACCATGTGTCAAACATGTTATATATTATCATCATTCTGATTTTTAGTACACCTCTGAAGAATGCCAGTATTTGTTCTAACAGGAGTTAAAATATTAACAAATCACCTTAATCTTGTGCAGGATTAGTTTATATTGCTTCCAGATTAATTCCAGTTTTGCCCTTAGGCTTCCAGCAAATTCTTAGTTCTAAAACAGGGAAGGGTATGGTACTTCTAGGGTTTTAAAGGAAAGTCTGAAATGCTTATTATTAAGACCCTCTCTCCGGTGGGATTCAAACTCCAATCTCATTATCCCCTGCAATGAGTGGCAGCTGAAATGTTGGCTCAGCTTTTTCAGGATTTTAGTTTTTGCTTTCTTCCAGGATTTTTTTTGGTGTCTTTTCCCCCTTTCCACCCCAAAACAAACATCTAAAGAAAGTTTGCATGTGAATTTGGAGTTTTACCTCTTGTTTGTTACTCTGTTTCTATGATTTGCCCCTCAATTTGAGCCTCTCACTAAAAAAATAAATACAGAGCCATAAGCCACCTAAGTTTTGTGGGGCTTTTCTTTTTTTTTTAAAAAAAAAGGTAAATATAAAGAGGGCTAAAGTTTCACACAGTGCAGCAAGGAACAAGAAATTTACTAAGAAAGGGGCTTACATTTGTATTGCCTCCAATTAAATCATTATAGAAAGAAGTAAATTGCCTGGGTAGTGAATGTTGCTGTTGCTTTAATTGGATTATTCTCTAATCCCATAAATAAGTGTCTAAGGCAGAATTGTAAAGACATGCAGGTGTCCAGGTGTGTCTGTTAGGCCCTTTTGGCTTCCTAGTCAGAATTTGTCTCCTCAAGCCTCTGTCATGAGCAGAAGCCACCAGTAATTATCTCTGCTTTCCTTGAGTATATTTTAGGGTTAAAGATGGAGTGTGGACCTACTCATCTCAGGTTCTATTCCTAAACCTCGTGGACTCCTTATTTATGTTGCCTCCTGGGAAGACTTAGTTCATATAGAAAAGGCACTGGCTTTGATATAACTGCTTGCTATGCTCCAGAATGGAGTCCAGTTGGTTCTCTTCGCCTGCATCTCTACATGAACATCTTTGCTGTGGACTGGACTCTACAGGAACCTTGAAACACACCTCTACTTTCTTCTCCATGGTCAGTGAATGGAGTTCTCTCTGTGGTGGATGAACTGGGTGGTCATAGAGGGATGTCTCCCATGTATCAGTATCCATGGTAACATTCTAGGTAAGAAGGAAGCATGCTAACCACCACTCATTCACCACAGAAATTTTCAGGATTGTCACAAAGCAGAATGAAGAAAGAAGGTCAACCCTGCACAGCAAACATTATATTGTTAAAATGCCCTCTTGACCTCCCTGTGTCCAACTTCCCTTCAAAAAGTCCCCTCCTGTTTTATGGTTTATATTCTTTGCCCAGGCAGTTATCCCCATACAGTTACATTATTCAACCTTCAAGTAGTTTGTGTCTTTACATTTTCACTGGGGGTGGAGAGCAGAAAAGGGAGGACTGCATCATGGGGACACAGAATTTCTTCATGTCTTTCAAATCTATCAATGTTTGCTTCCTTCGGTCAAATTGAAAATCCATCAAATCTCTTTTCAAACAGGATGGTTTTATAGTGAAACAGCCATTCCTCCCCCACACTGGGCTCTCCCTCCTCCCACTCGGCTCTCCCTCCCCCCACATTGTAATCAGGATTTCTAAGACTGCTCGATTTTAAATAAGGATTCTCGGCAGATCTGAGGAGACAAACCTTCTGCCATTGGTGTATAGTTTATGGGCTTGCTAAAGCATCTCCTGGCTTTCACGGGGATGAAAACCAGCCTTGCATACTTGTGCGTGCAGTGAAGGGTTAAAAAGCACTAGAGAGACACAAGGCATGTGTTAATTCCTGCTGCTGCAGCAGCATGCATTGCTTCCACTTTGACCTCATAGTTAATCTGCGTGGTAGCTGATCACGCAGAGATTCTTGTGGTTTTTATATGTCTTTTAAACACACACACACACACACACACACACACACACACACACACACACACACACGGCCCTGCCCCCTCTAAAAGAAAAATAAAAGCAAAGCAAGTAAATAAACCTACAAGGATGGAACTGGAGGAGTACGTGTGAGTGTGAGGGACATGAGAGTGTGTATTAGGGTCCTTGCTTTCTCACCGCCCCCCCCTTATTTTTCTCTGAGTGTCTTTCCCTGAACCCTCCCCCTACCTCAATTATATTATTCCCCCAGACTTGGAAGCTGCTCCCCGAGCTGATGCTCTGATGGTATCTGCAAGCGTGTGCGCTGATCTTATTTCTGCCCTCTGAATATTAATTCCTGAAGCTGGTAGCAATATATCTCCCCAGTGACGGGACCTACTAGAGGCAGGTGGGGGGAGCCACCACCAGATCATAAGCATAATAATAATACAAAGGGGAGGGATTCTTCTGCAACCGAGAGGCAAGAAGCAGGGGGGGGGGGGGAGCGATGAGTTCGCCAAATATATGGAGCACAGGAAGCTCAGTCTACTGCACTCCTGTATTTTCACAGAAAATGACGGTGTGGATCCTGCTCCTGCTAACGCTCTACCCCGGGTAAGATGTGCTGTTTTCAGCTTCGTTTTGTTCCGGAGAGGTGGGGGAAGGGTGAGGATGTGGCACTACGGAGACCACCCAGATTGAAAACACTCTTCTAGGATTTGGGGCTTTGTAAATTAGGGGGATGTGAATGTGTGAGGAGTGGAGGAAGGGAGGAAAGAGGAAGGTCACTTTGGTTTATTTATTAATTTATCGCGTTGCTTTGTTTTGTTTTAGAGTGGGCAAGCTAATGTATTAAAGACTTTGTGTTTGAGGAGTAGCATGTTGATATTACCGCAAAATGATGTCTAGGTGGGCTGTGCTGATACATGCTTGGCATTGAGGCCATGTTGGAGGAGGCGTTTGGGGTGGGGGGTCTAGAGGAGAAAACTGCAAATGAGGTCCTGGCGTACACCTGAGAGATACACGTTCGGGGGAGGGGTTCTGTTCTTATACATCAAAGTATTGCTTGCTCCTGCACTTTGGCATTCTTAAGATCAGTTTTCTATCCAGCCCCACTGACCAGGCAGCAGGCTCCGCGACACGCAGGCACGGTTCAGCACCAGGGACAGCAGTCCCGCTTAGAGCCAAATGGAAAGAGGCTTGTCTAACCCGTAGGACACCCCTAAATTCACACAGGACACCAATATAGTGCAGACAGAAGGCCAAAAGAGTCATGGAGCACTAATGACATCCGAGGACCCTACTCTGATTATTCCTACCTCCTCCTTGAGATGAGAGGGGGGCTTTGGGGCATGGGCTTAGGAACCTAGTTGATGAATGCATGGAGGGATATAAGTCTGGAAAGAGTTGTCCTTGCTGCAGTATTGAAAACTATGCAGAACCAAGGGAATGTGATGCCAACATTGTGAAGTATGCATTAACGCCCTAGAGCCTTGATTCACTGAACAGAAAAGATGGGAGGGGAGTATGGGTTTCCCAAAACCCTGAGCAGGTGTGTCATCTGAAGTGCTTTCACCTACATTCTTTGAACTTCCTTGCACCACAAGTATTAGTGGATTCTTCCAACTATAGTTCACCATTGATCTACCCACCTACACATCCACAACCTCTCCCCCCAACACACCTCAGGATTTCCAGCAAGGACAAAGTGCAGGTTAGATAGCCACTATTTACAGTACTTGAACTCTCCTGTATTGCTATTTTGAAATAAAACTCTATATTTAGGGTAATTCTACATCCCTCTAAGAAAAGAAAAAAGTAGCTACAGAATATATCAAGCCATTGCCCTAAGGGTTTTGTGGGAATTGACACTCTTATGTAGTAGTTGTAACAAAGTGAGATAAGAAGGATGGAGGTGAAACTGTTATTTTATTAAAATTACGAGTTAACTTCTCTGATGCTTCATTTTTTAGGGCAGGTAATGGAAGATGCAGATTTCTGATAAAGAAGAGACTCAGGCAAAACAAGGAGTAAAAGCCTCTCTTGGAGTTTCTAAGCAGAGAGAGGACCTACTGAATTTTTCCAGCATTTTTTCTCACTTTCCTCCTTCACTATAAAAATAGAGTGCATTTTCATTAAGAATATCATATTAAGCAGATTTTTTAGAAGAGAAGAGGTCCTTTTACTGGAAATGGTTTATGGGCAAATATATTTTAGTGGAATCCTGGAAAAACATTTTCCTATTCAAAATTTGCAGACAGTTTTTTCTGTCTAATGTTGTGGTAGCTCTTAATTTGTTTCAGAAATTAGACAGTTGATGGTGGTTTTTGGATAGAAAATATCATTCTCATATCCCTACCTTTTATGAAACCTGTGGATTAAAATCTACACAAGACAGAGGGAAATAGGTCTTTCCTTCCCATGCACCTTCCATCCATCTTAATAATCAACTTTGCAACTAAATAGATAAGGACATTCTTATGTATTTTATACTAGTGGTCTTACTTCAATGAAAACAATGTGCAATTTTATAGTTACTCATAATAGTGGCTATTTCTCAGTTATAAATTCCTAGCCATTCCAAGATAGACGTTCCACAGTTTAACTACAAATAGCGATAGTGAAAGGGAGGATATCTAAGATGTCTTACTTTTTTGCAACAGTACCACCTTTTCTTTTCCAATATACAAAACATAACACTTGGAAATACATTTTTCTTTTTAATTCTTGGCAGAGTATTTTAAATAGCTCTAAATACTGGGAGCCATGTGCCATGCGAGCTCTCCCATAGGGGGATTTCACATTTTCTCAGTGATGACAGAAACAAGGCAGGTCGGTGCAGAGGATGAGATCAGAGCTTCAGTTTGCTGCAATCCCATAAAAATGCCAGTTGCATGGCTGAATCGGGATGGATGGAAATTGAGGCTTTGCTCTGAAGCTGCTCCTAAAGAAGGACCATAAGTAACTGGAAAAAATGTGGGATCCTAGGAGACATCCTTCTGAAGAAGGCTTTGGGGTTAAACAGTGGCAGTAGAACCACCTAAAAACTTTAAGGGACATTTTAAAAACATTTAATTGACTTTTTCATTTATATAACTCCAAAGGATATGTTTTCCTTCTCATTAATTGATTAAATTCATTAAGTTGTGTTCACCTAAGGAGGAAGAGAAGCTTTGGAGTGAAGATATAAATAGCTAATATCTCTTCTTATGTGTGAAGTCGTTAATTTATAAAACTCAAAATTACCTAAACTGTCATTATCTTGTATATAGTGCTGTCATTAGCTCCGCCTGAAGAACGTGCTAAAATGGAGATTCCTGGACCATACCCTGGAAGATTCTGGACCATTATGTCTGGGGTGTAGCCCAGGAGTATTCATTTTCAACAAGTACCTTGGACCACCATTGAAGAAAAGTGGTATATGCCTTACTAATCTCCAAAGTCTATTCGCCACCATATTCAATGTTTACAAGTGCTTGGATTATTGCCACTTTTTTCATCAGCTGAGCACAATGAGTCAATTTCACCTCAGAATTTTTTGTTTGTATGGAAATCATTGAGTATTATAGAAACCATAAAGGGTCAGAAATAGCTATAAAAATTTTAGTAAACCCACGTCATGTATTAAAAACATTGGTTGGAAAATAAACAGAGACTTCTCTCATTAAGGGCATGTATGCCTGCGTATGTAATTGAATTTTCAAACTATATACACTTTGTAAGGTCCCAATAGTCCTAACACACTCCATGTACAAATATTCATAGATTTAGGTTTTAAGACAAATTTGCTGCTTTTATAAACTTTTTTGATGCAACTACATTTCATCTCAGAGAAGAAATATCTGAAGAAGAAGAAAGAAATGGATATAAAAATGGAGAAAAGAAATGGAGAAAATTATTTAGAGTAAACAGGAGTAAATGTTAGAAGTAAAGATGGTTTATTTTTTTCTTAGAATAAAATTAGATTTTATAGTATACTTTGAGTGATAAAGAACTAATTCTAAAGGATAGATTGAGCAGAGGTGAATTTGTTTAAATTTGTGGTAATCTAATCCTTACTTGAAGTGCTAGCATTTAAAAATACACTGAGTTACATTTTTGTAAATGTTTTCTATTGCTTGAACACAAAATACTTCAGGTGACTTTTCTTATGAGCTGCTAAAGCTTTTTATCCCATAACAAGTTTTTCAATGTTTAATTTTTAACATGCATGTAGGGGAATACTGTGACTCTTCACTATAACCCTGTTCATTTACAGCATTAATCTCTACAGACAAACTTGTTATTTCCTATCTTTCCTAATGTTCCACTCGGTTTTATTTAGAAAAAAATGTTTCCTCAGCATATTTAATTGCTTAGTTGTAGACATAACATTGCAATTAATCTACACCGAGGCAAACATCTACCTAAAAAAACAACAACAACAACAACACACACACAGAGGGAAAAAAAAAGTGTCACCACGTACTTCTAAAATCTAGCTGCCCACCACCCTGTAGACAAAACATCTGGATCATAGGCAGAAGTTTAAAACTTGGCTTTTAATTTAAATAATTAGTTACTTAAATAAATATCTGCTTGATTTGCTAGACTCCGTTTAGATAGCTAAGAGATAATCTACTCAAAACATTGAATTACAGAATATTTAATGCTTGAAGCCTCTGTTGTACATATCTTAAAAAGTGCTTCATGCAAGGATTTCTGCTCAAGTTCAAGTGAAGTTAGGACTAACTTTAGAGACGTTATCTTTGCTGTAAATATTAGATTACTAAGGTTGTGGCTATTTCTCAATTATAATTTCCTAGCCATTCCAAGACAGACTTTCCACAGTTTAACTACAAATAGCTATAGTGAAAGGGAGAATTTGCCATCCCATAATATGCCTCCTTAGCATAAGGAATATTTTAGGGTGATTATTTTTAAGAACTGGCAGGCCCAGGAGAAGCTCTGAAAGCCAGTAGAAGTTACCCTTTTTGGAAGAGCCATTTATATTTATAAGGGAAATCTCCATTTGTAAGGGTGTCTCCTTCCCCAGTGCCTGGAAGAGAAGGATGACTAAATCTGTAGGAAGTCTTATCAATTGAGAAGGTAGGAATTTAAATCTTCAAAATCACCATGCCTCCAGCTTACTGTGCTTGCTAGGTAACTTCCTATATCTCCTCCCCCCGACCCCCAACATAATCTTTTGTCTTTAGCTGGAGATGATATGTAAGGTGACAGATTGGGCATTCCAGGAACTTACTCATTTTTCCTGGATACCTCCCCTCCATACAGGAGGTTATACATGTTACCAAAATTGTGTTTAACGCATCTTTTTATTACAGCCAAGAACCTAGAGAGTTAGAGAGAAAATTATTTTTCCTCCCCTGCATGTTTCTCCAAAGTACTTCTGCTAAATTTACAGATCACAGAAAATTGGTTAAAAGTTATAATTAGCACAGTTCCGGAATTGTTTGACCACCGTGGGTGTCAGCACAATTTATGTGCTTAAATTTCAGTATTTCAATTGGGATGAGCATTCCAGATATGATAACCTATTCAGATAGATGTAAAGAGAAGAATTCATCCCTCTACTACTGGGTTATATCTATGTGATATCTTCAAGGTTAGTGTGG